TGATGTCGTCGGGCAGGTATCCGGCTCTCCTCAGCTTCTTGATGTCTCTCTCTGTGACGGAGGAGACCATCCACCTGCCTCCCGCTCTGGACATGGTGGGAGAAGGTTGAGGTGGGAAGTGCGGACTTGGGCGCTAGAGCTCGAGTGTGCGAAAATGGATGAGCAAAGGAGGAAGAAGGCGTGGATGAAAAGGTGAATCCTTATCCCTTTATATGGGCGGACGAAACTATGCGCCCCCCGCTAGCCTGGTAAAACTCGCTTATCCCCCAAGCGTCGTAATCGATGGCACGGTTGGGTTACCCACGCCCATATTGATGAGAATCCCGTAATAAGGGGACACGATCTCTTCTTTGACAAGACGTGTGAAAAAACTGCCTCGCGTTATGTGCGGGGCTAGTTAAAAGAAACGGTTCGAATAATCACCGGACCATGACATAACGTCATGCTGCCAAAACAAGTCAGCAAATTAGATTTGCGAAAATATTATTCTCTCTACGGTGGTATGTGGAACTTATTTTGCAGGGTAATTCTTCCGTGGTGTATTCGGAGGAGGAACCCGGCTTGCAATGCCGAAGACAATACTGCGCACCGGACTCATCGTCATTGAAGCCTGGTTCAGGGGCTACTGAGGGAGTCCTGGATTAGGGGGTCTCCGGACAGCCGGACTATATCCTTTGGCCGGACTATTAGACTATGAAGATACAAGATTGAAGACTTCGTCTCATGTCCGGATGGGACTCTACTTGGTGTGGAAGGCAAGCTAGCCAGTACGGATATGGATATCTCCTCCTTTGTAACCGACCTTGGGTAACCCTAACCCTCTCCGGTGTCTATATAAACCGGAGGGTTTTAGTCCGTAGGACACAACAACTACAACAATCATACCATAGGCTAGCTTCTAGGGTTTAGCCTCTTTGATCTCGTGGTAGATCTACTCTTGTACTACCCATATCATCAATATTAATCAAGCAGGACGTAGGGTTTTACCTCCATCAAGAGGGCCTGAACCTGGGTAAAACATTGTGTCCCCTGCCTCCTGTTACCATCCGGCCTAGACGCACAGTTCGGGACCCCCTACCCGAGATCCGCCGGTTTTGACACCGACAGTTAGGTTTACCTTAATACTTCTTTTGTAGTTGCGGATGCTTGCAAAAGGGGTTAATCATAAGTGGGATGCTTGTCCAAGTAAGGACAGCACCCAAGCACCGATCCACCCACATATCAAATTATCAAAGTACCGAACGCGAATCATATAAACGTGATGAAAACTAGCTTGACGATAATTCCCATGTGTCCTCGGGAGCGCTTTCCTCTATATAAGAGTTTGTCCAGGCTTGTCATTTGCTACAAAAAGGATTGGGCCACCTTGCTGCACCTTATTTTCTTTTGTTACTTGTTGTTCGTTACCAATTATCTTATCACAAAACTATCTGTTACCTATTATTTCAGTACTTGCATAGAATACCTTGCTGAAAACCGCTTATCATTTCCTTCTGCTCCTCGTTGGGTTCGACACTCTTACTTATCGAAAGGACTATGATAGATCCCCTATACTTGTGGGTCATCACACACCTCAGGTTGATATGGATCCAATCCATCCTCCTCTTGTGCATGACAATCATGGGGGATATGATGACACTGAAGATAGTGGAGATGCAACTGATCAAGGCAATACAAGTCAAAGTGGTGAGCAACCATCAAGTGATGATGATGATGAAGTTGGTAATGATGATGCCAACGAAAATCCACCCGATTCACCACGAGTGCAGCAGCAAAGAAGAAGTGAAAGAGGTCACATTTCTTCTTCTAAATATCCACTACATCAATATGTGTTGATGACAGATGCAGGTGAGCCCTCATGCTATGAGGAGGCAATGTCTGATGAGAATAAGGAAGAATGGTCAGAAGCCATGCAGGATGAGATGAATTCCCTGTATGAGAATGATACCTTTGAGTTGGTGAAACTGCCAAAGGGCAAGAAAGCACTCAAGAACACGTGGGTGTACAGAGTGAAGACTGAAGAAAACACCTCACATCCAAGGTACAAGGCCAGATTGGTTGTGAAAGGATTCTGTCAGAAAAAGGGCATTGATTATAGTGAGATATTCTCTCTAGTGGTCAAGATGTCTTCGATCTGAGTTGTGCTTGGCATGGCTGCCACCATGGACTTGGAAATTGAAAAACTTGATGTGAAGACTGCATTCTTACATGGTGACCTAGAGGAGGAGATATACATGGAGCAGCCGGAGGGATTCATGGTTGCAGGCAAGGAGCACTTAGTTTGCAAATTGAAGAAGAGCTTCTATGGCCTGAAGCAAGCTCCTCGGCAGTGGTACAAGAAGTTTGAGTCTTTTTATGACTGGGCTTGGTTACCATAAAGCACAACCTGATCATTGTGTCTTTATGAAGAGGTATGCCGAGGGTGACTTCATTATTCTCTTGTTGTATGTTGATGATATGTTGATTGTTGGAAATGGCACAAAGAGGATTGCTCTCCTCAAGAAGGCATTGAGTAAATCATTTTCCATGAAGGATTCAGGACCAGCTAAGCAAATACTTGGCATGAAGATCTCCCGTGATAGATCAAAGAAGCTGCTTTGGCTCTCACGGGAAAGATACATTGAGAAGGTACTTGAAAGGTTCAATATGAAAGATGCAAAAACTGTTATCTCTCCGCTTGCAGGCCATCACAAACTGAATTCAAAACAATGTCCTACAAGCAAGAAGGAGAAAGAAGAAATGAGGAAAGTACCTTACCAATCTGCTGTGGGCAGTTTGATGTATGCCATGATATGCACTAGGCCTGACATTGCCTATGCAGTTGGAGTTGTTAGCCGGTTCATGACAAATCCAGGTAAAGCTCGCTGGGAAGCAGTGAAGTGGATTCTCATGTATCTCAAGGGTACTTCTACATCTTGTCTATGCTTTGGAAATGGTGATCCTGTATTGCAGGGCTATACAGATGCAGATTATGTAGGTGACAAGGATCGTAGGAAGTCCACATCCGGATACCTGATGACTTATGCAGGGGGAGCAGTGTCATGGCAATCAAGATTGCAGAAATGTGTCTCTTCATCAACTACAAAAGTTGAGTACATTGCAGCAGTTGATGCTCGCAAAGAGGTTTTGTGGATGAAGAACTTCTTGCAAGAGCTCGGCATGAAGCAAGAGAAGTATGTTTTGTGACAGTCAGAGTGGTATTCATCTTGCCAAGAATTCAAGCTATCACTCTCGAACCAAGCACATTGATGTGAGGTACCATTGGATTCGAGATGTTGTGAGTTCCAAGTTGCTGAAACTTGAGAAGATCCATATCGACGACAATGGTTCAGATATGATGACCAAGATATTGCCAAATGAGAAGCTACAAGCATGTTGCAAGGTAGCGGGCATGGCGGTGCCGCCCTCATGAGTCGGAGGGGGAGATTTGTTGGGATATCCTCCTCATATGGGCTGTGAGGAGATGACTATTTAAAGGCTTTTTAGGCAGCCCAAAGAGATGCATAAGCCCACTACCCATTAGGGTTATGACCTAGGGTCATTTTGGACTTTGCACATGTATGGATGGGGATGCTTTACCCTTCATCCAGCAGCCACCACCAAGTGTGACGAAAATCAGTTCATCCTCCAAGAGAGAAGAAGAGAGAAACCCAAGAGAGCAAGGGAAGAAGAGGAAGATTGAAGGAAGAAGAAAAGGGAGCTCCTCCCCAAGGTTGTTATGGTCCAGATCCACTATCTTGTCTCCTTCAAGCTTCGGTTCCATCATCTTTGGTGAGATTGTTCCAATCCCTAGTTCTTGAGCCCCAAATCTTGTTGTGTTTATCCAAGATTCAGAAATCTTGATGTATGAGATCCTCTAGTGCTGTCTAGAGAAGAACTTGTTGCATCCCATATTTGATAATAGTGGAAGAGGATTTGGGTGGCTTCGGCCCGTGGTTTTTTCCCTCAAGTTGAGGGGTTTTCCACGTAAAAATCTGGTGTCTCTTTGTTGATACTTGGTGCTGTCCAGAAACTTACTCCTACCACAAGACACTAGGCTAAGGAGTGGCTTGCCTGCTGAGTAACATTTTCTGCCTCCATATATGCTGCTGCATATGTTTTCTTAGCAACGATTCTTGAATTAGTACATAATGTGATGCTAAGATTACTTGTTTCCGCTGTAGTTTTTTAATTAACCATAAATGCATTTATGTGCTAATTTTCAACAGGCACAAGATCAATAGCAGCGGTGGTGGTGGTGTAGCCGGGAGACGACGAGCAGAGGACGAACTCTGGGACATGTCAAAACAGCTCTAATGGATGAGAAAGCGGTCAGCGACACGGTCGAGGCTGTCCAACGACGTGTGCGTGTGATCAATCCCTCCCGCTGATCCACCTTGTGTGAGTTGTGCTGTCATAATGGTCCGATTGAATACGCATATACGTTGCAAACCGAAAGCCAATGCCCCACTATAATCTAACTAGCACGCTATCCTGATGCGAATCACGTAGGATCTGCACGTCGTAGATGCCGCGCGTGCAGATGCCACTGTGTGCAGCGATGCACTTCTCCATAAACATAGTACTCCTTTCGTCTTAAAATAAATATCTCAAGTTTAGTACAACTTTATATCAAAATTAGTACAAAGTTGAGACGCTTATTTTAGAACGGAGGAAGTAAAAGTTACATGAAGTATCCTGCACCATCGAACAAGTCGCTACAATGAGTCGACAGCACGCCTTGTACCTCTTCTATTGAAGCCGGCTTGACTTTGTCAATGATGAAAGTCTTCAATGAAACCATATAAAGTGTGTTACACAAAACATCATTGTTGTGGACACACAATAAAAAACCATAATCTCGTTGTCCCAAGAACACGACGTGAATCTATGTTGAAATTTCGTCAACTCTGTTCTAATGGACACACTTTTGAAGGCAAAAAAATCCTAACCTGAACTACTAGCCGGAGCACACCGCCGGTGGCCCGCAGGATACCTCTGCCTAGTCTATCATGAGTTGGCTACATTATTACATCAGCAGGAGAAGGGCGTGAGCTAAGGGGTAGCAGGTAGCAGGTGAATTTGCGCTCGAGTAGCCGCAGCTCTGGGGAGAGCTCGACTGCCATGAAACAGACGACACTGCGGCGATGTGTCTTGTCGTTGTTGTGATTGGTCACCCAGAGGCAAAACCTGCCGCCTCCAAAGTACCCCACCTCGGGGACATGCGAGCATATTGTATATCCGGCGCGCCACGCCGGCTCGGCAGGAAAGGCCTCCGGCCAGGTCGCGACGATCGCGGGCGGCCTGATGTCCATGTCGACAGCGCAAAAGGGTTTCCCTCTGAAATCTTCTAATGCATGGAAGCCGAAGAGCAGCCGCCGGCCCGTGCCGAGGAAGTCCGAGACCAGCACGCCCCGGCGCTTGATAGGCAGCTGCCAGGCGCCCTCCACGCGCCACCTGCGGCGTACCGTGTCGTAGGAGTAAGTGCCTTGGTGTTGCAAGGAGATCCAGACGCACACGTCAGACACGAAGTAGGCCGTGACGTCCGCCCGCTTGCAGCGGGCGAAGCCCGGCGGCTCAGGGACGGCGCTCCAGGCCCAGCGGCCGCCGTTGTCGGGGCAAGGGTGATGCTGGAGAACCTCGAACCGGGGTCCCGGGGGAACGTCATAAGAGGGGTATGGGGAGATGACGAAGAACATGCGATCGCTGACGGGGACGAGGAAGACAAATTGCTTAACGGAGGGCATGACGGGGCCGCGAGAGACCACGGCGCCGTTGTAGAGTAGGGTCCGTCCGTTGGTGCCAATGCCGGCAATGAAGTTGCCGCAGGGAGAATCCGAGAACATCATAATCTCATAGGAGTTGACTTGCTTGAAGCAGGCGACGGGGTCAGGCAGGCTGAGCAGCGGCGGCGACGACGGGCAGTCGACGCGGACGCCGGGTTGCGGTAGGGGTTTCTCCTGGGAGGAGAAGAGATGCTTGAGGTTGAGTTTGAAGAGGAGGTAGCCTACTTCACCGTCGTCCTGCACCGCCACAAACAATCGGGTGCGGTAGCGCGGCGCGGCGGCCATGGATCTATCCACACCTCTACGAACGGTGACCCCTCCACGATTGATTTCGAAGGATCTGCTTACATATATATACTACTAGTTATTCCTTTCGGGAGTCCGCCTCCGGCTTGGGCACAAAACTGTTGGCATAATTAACCGATTTTGTCCATCAGAGTATAAATCATTAAAATCAACCGACTGGTTATCACGGGGCGTAACCCGCACGCTGCGCTGGACACGTGCCCCTGGGCCCATCCACTATTCGCGTGCGTCTCCTTCCACATATTTTTCCGCACCTCCGTTCGTCCCTGCGCGAGAGAGGACCTCTCATGGCAACGCCGCTACCTCCGCGCCGCTGCAGCAAACCAGGGAGGAGCGACTGCGTGCACCACCAGCTGCATCCCCGCCGCAAACAAAGGCGGATGAAGCCCGCACGCCCACCGCCGTGGTGCTGGAACCCCATGCGGGGGCGATGCTCGCCGCACTACTGCGATGCAGGCAGGAGGGCATCCGCTCATTTGTTGCTGCCGGCGATGCGGTACGACGACGGGCCGCCGGCGCTGCGTTGGAGCATCGCATGCCGGTATCGCGGCTGCATTAAAGCATGGCCGGATCTGCGACGGGCCATCGGCGCTGCGTTGGAGCACTGCGAGCCGGTGTCACGGCCGGAATGGAGCACCGCCGTGTCAGTGATGCAACATCGCCGGCCTTCGTAGGTGGAGCTGCAATGGAGCACCGTCGTGCCGGTGTTACTGTTGCAATGAATCATGGCCGGAGCTTTGGCGGGCCGCCGACCCTGCATTGGAGCACCGCGCGGCGGTGCGCCGGTGCTTCATTGGAGCACCACGTCCACGCATCGGTATCGCGGCTGCAATGGAACACAACCGAAGCTGCAATGGAGCACCGCGCCGGTGTCGCGGCTGCAATGGAGCAGGAGCACCGCCGCGCCGGAGTTGGCATTGCAATGGGGCATTGTTGTGCGGCCGCCGTTGCTGCCAAACGCCTAGCTGAACCGACGGGGTGTGTGTCTGCTGTCGTCGCTTTCCTACAGCTAGAGGAAGATCAGATGAGTGATGCGTTGACGAATCAACGACTACAGGGGGTCGGATCCAACGGCTGGGGACCGACTGATTTCCCTAGAAAATCAGCCGAATGATTTGTAGTAGTGCCTTTATTAAAAGAGGTCTGTTTATGTCTCATCTAGATGTAAGATGATTTCATGAGCCAGGTTTACTGCACCTCCGTGCTCGCTAAATATATGACGTATGCGGTAGTACTCCCTTAGAAAAAAATGTATGCTTAAGGCGTGTTCGGTAGCCCTCTAGCTTCTCAACTCCTCAACTCCAGGCAGGAGTCCAGCCAAACGCTCCAACTCCTGGAGTTACGGGAGAGAAGCTGGCGATTTGCTACGTGCAAATTTCAAAATTGCTGGAGTTGTGGAGTTGGAAATCTGGAGCACCACCAAATCTGAGAAGTGGGAGTTGTGAAATATTACAATGAGGGTGCCACCGCGAAGTGAAATCGCTGATACCGGTTCGATCGAGCGGCGCTCGTTTTCCAGTCGCTGCCATCCCCGACTAGCTATACCCGACCAGGCCTATGGCCCAGTCCATATTCTCACAGTGTTTTGCATCGACAGCCTGCTTCAGACGGGCCACATGGGGGCAATTTTATGGGCTCTGGCTCGCTCCCTCGCGCGAGCGAGAAGCCGCCACGCCGAACGGATCGCTCGCTCCGGGATCCCTCGAGAGAAGCTGGCGCTCGATTTCCGGCGCAGGAGTTGTGGATTTTTGGGCACGAAGAGCTACCGAACATGCCCTTAGTATTGTGTTCACAGGAAAAAAAAGTGTATGCAGTAGTACATTTTATGTTTTTTATCTTTTTTTATGATTTTTTTCTCTTTCTGGTTTAGCTCCTCTTTTGGTTTTCTTCCAATTTTTTTTAGTTTTTTGTAATATAAACATTATTCTAATATATGTTGAACATTTTTCAAATAAACACTTAAAAAAAAAATTCATGTACAATGAACATTTTATTTCAAATACACACTAATCTTTTTTCAAAAGTAGGTTGAAGATTTTTCTGAATATACACTGAAGAAAAAAGTTAGTATGTTGAAATTTTATTTAATATACATTGAACTTTTTTCCAATGTATGATGAACCTTTTTAAATAAATATATATAGAGTAGCACTATAAGGGCCCGATGAGATCCTCCTGAGATCCCGGGATTGTATGTATATAGAGTAGCACTATTCTAATCCTAAGATTAGAATAGTTATTTGAATCACAGTCAGCCCTATAAAGGGCGGGATCCCGAGAAACCCACCGGACATAATAAAAAAAAACGCAACACACCCGACCCGCTGCCCCGATCCCCACCTCCTCCCTCGATTCCCTGCGCCGAACACCAGATCTCGCCGCCGCCGCCCCACGACCTGTGTTGCCGTCGCCACTCCTCCGCCGTCGATGCACTCCCTCCCCATGGCATGTGCGCTCCCTCCCCTGCCAGCGCGCTCCCTCCCTGCGGCCGGCGCGCTCCCTCCCCTCGGCTGGCACGCTCACTCCCCGGCCGGCGCGCTCCCTCCCCGCGGTCGGTACGCTCCCTCCCCAGCCCGCGCGCTCCCTCCCTGCGGCCGGCGAGCTCCCTCCCCGGACGGCGCGCTCCCTCCTCGCGGCCGGCGCGCGCCTACTAATTCTCCTTTGCGACCGGCGTGGTCCCTCCCCGCTGCAGCCCGCACCTCCTCCATAGATGGCCTGCACCGGCCGCTATAGCCCATCGAGGTGGTGGCCGTCTTCCTCGACCCCGATCCACATCTGCCTGGGCTTCTATGGCTGACCTGCCCAATCGCCGACGGATTCCTTCTCCAAACAGTACAATGGCCACTCCCGCTCTGCCTCCGACCTCCCTTCTCCCCCACACGGCGAATGTCTTGCTCCCTACCACGCCCATACCGTTCTTTCTCCCCTGGATGCATCTGGTCTCTCTTCAATTACAGGTCAGCACCAGCGCTGCAAACAAAAAAAGGTCAGCATCTGGTCCTCCAGAAGTTCAGTGTGTTGATTTTTTGAAGATCATGAAGTGGACTATAACTATGTATATTTTGCAGGGCCTTGTGATAGGGCATCCATCTTTTTTCATCGAGGTCGCCATCGTCCATCTGCGTCGAGGCCACCCTGCCATTGTAAAATTCTGCTCTCAAAGGTGTCTGTTATTGTGTAGGTAAAAGAACCTAAAGTTTTTCTATACCTCAACAACTTGAACTGGTTATGTATCACTGTAAGTGCAATATACTTCAGTCGAATATTTGATTATTCAGTGGGCCAATGTGTTCATTAACCAATTTCGTGCACTAAAAAATTATAGCAGGTAGAATGTTTGTGAATCTGTATATTAAGAGTAGTTGGTCAGTAGGCTAATGGCTGCACTGTCTCCGTGGAATAGTTTTCTGTGTCATTTCTACTAGTTTCCATCCCCAGCCGCGACACCTTCTCTTCCTGTTATCACCACAAAAAACAGAGCACGCAAAAAGACTCGGGTGCTAGTCACCGTCCACCTCCTCAGGCACCTCTCTGCTTCTTGAGAGTTAGCTGCGGCTTTCCATGGCCATATACACGCAGTTTGTTGTTTTGCCCAACCACTTATATATGCGTGCATGTTTCCATTTTTGCCAAATTGTATACCGATCTTTTGTTTTGAAAAACAAATGTGAATGTGAACATGAGAAAAAAGTCTATATAAAGAAGTTCATGTATTACTAACCCAGAAGGTTCGTGTATTACTAAGTGTGTGCACATATAATTTCTCCCTCCATATATGTTTGTATGTATGTTTGTATGTTCTGCCAATTCCATTTTAGCTTTGACCATGGTTCACCAGCCATGTAAACAATAGTTCGGCGCATACGTCCTTCAAAAATATTATCTATCCTCATTATTTAGTTTAAAATTGTGTTGTCTAGTTCTAGTTCTATTCTATTTTTCTGAAGTTCAATAGTGTCAGTGCAAGCAAAAAACTGGGGTTTTGATATGTTGGTTTCAGTTTCAGAAATCCTTCAGGAAAAAATGCAAAAGAAAAATGGAGCAGGAGTCACAGGCCTCAAGCCCTCTCTCCACTTCGTGGCTTCTTGTTCTCAAAGCACAAGTTGCTACTGCTACTATTAGTAAATTGCTTCTGCTCACTATAATGAGCTGAGGGGCGTTGCCCAACTGCGTGGATGCTCGCCTGCTCACCGAGCGTCGCGATAGTCCACCCCGAAGCCATCAGCAGGAGCAGCTTGCAACAGTCCCGCCTCTCCTTCGTCTAGTGCTCCAAGAGGCCAGGGTAGAAAAATCGGTCATCTTCTGATGAGCCCTGCCCCGACAGGAACCTCTCCCTACCTCTCTCAGCTACTGATGGGCACCATAGTGTGAAGTTGATGTAGAGAACAAGTTCTGATTATGTGCTCTGTACATGCTTGTTGATATGTCAATGAGAACCAACTTTTTTTCTTCAGGTTGTTGTGATGATGTTTGATAGTTAATATTTTTGCAAGTATAGAACTCCAGGTTATGAAATTTTGATGGATGTGAGACTTCTTTTGACCTTGCATTGTTAAAAGATCTGCCAAAACTTTCTTACATGTAGATGCACCCACGTCCGCATCTTTGACCTTCTTCATATATGTGTTGTGTTTAAAATTGCTTAATGAAAATTATATTCTAAGAAGTTCATATATTACTGAGTGTAAAGGTCATATATTATAACTACCTAGTAAGTGAAATGTATTATAGAAATTCAAATTAAAAATGACTTCTTTTGAATTCGTGATTCAAAAGTTTTCAAGTTAAAAAAAGTATCACTGCATCCCAAAATAAATGACTCAACTTTGTACTAACTTTAGTGCAAAGTTAGTACAAAGTTGAGTCACTTATTTTGAGATGGAGGGGGCATAATATAAGAAAGGAAAAAATGTGGGGATTCATCGAAAAAAAGGATCAATTCACCAAAAAGAATTTTGGAAGTTCAAAAGTCAAATACT